GCTATGGCCTTCTTGTCATCATTTTGTACAGTTTTGCACTGAATGGAACTTGTTTGTTTTTCTCTTTGCTTATCGTAATCATTTGTCTATGTAGGATTCTTTTCAAATATTAGCTGAAGCTTATGTAGGAGAGCTGTACTCTTCTATGATCTTAACAGAAAGTGAAAAGATTGATCAGTGTTAAACAGAGTTGTTTAAACAGGTCATGTTGGAGCTATTTTAACTAACTTCACATGGTGTTTTTTCAACTCATTTTTAGTTCTGACTTTTGCTCTAATTAGTCCGTCCTTATTGCACAAGGGCATTGTTTCTGAAATGATTCCCATATCAATTGTAGTCATTTCTTGCTTTTTGAAACTATAAGCATTGGCGTAAAGGCTAGAGAACATATCCTAGGAGTTAGAGAGATCTGGGTTCAAGTGCTGCCTCTGACACATAGTGGTGGTATCCCAGTGGGCAAGTCAATCTCTCAGGGCCCCAGACAACTCTTAGCAGTTAGTCTAAAAAGAGCATTTATTAAGTGTTTTCCATATGCCAGGCAGTGTGCTAAGTGCTGAGAATACAAATAGAAGCAAAACCAGATATAGTCCCTGTCCTCAAGGAGCCTAAATTCTAATAAAGGAAGATAACATAAAAGGAAGAGAGGGAGGGAAAGAGGGAGCAGGTGCCTGGTGCTGAGGCATGCCAGAGGAACACAGCCTAATGAGAAATGAAGAGATGGCTGGCCTGAGTGCCTTCCTTAATTAAGTTCTAGGAGGAGCTATCCAATCAGAGGGAAGGGTCCCCAGGGGCAGAAGGCACTTCCAGAGTTTGGGTTAGTGAATTTTGGGGCTGAAGTGATCATCCAGGATACAGAGTTTGCCACAGGCTTGAAGGAGCAGACTAATAAGTTGCAAACTAGATGTTGATCTGCATGGGTAAGGGCAGTTTGTTTCCTAGGCTTGCCCCTATATCAGTGAAATCACAGGTCTGTTTTAAAACAAAACAAAACAATGATATCACAAATTTCATTTTTTGTGTGGTGATTTTCTGTGCTTTACCATGTACTGTATAGCTTTTGATTTTCTTTTTGAAGAAAATATTTATGACATTGATTTGAGGCTTTTGAATATTCTGCAAGTATTTGGTCACTTTAATTTCTTTCTCATTCATTCAGCAAGTCTTTCTTAATCTTGAATTTTTATTTTCTTTTTTTATCCCCCCCCTCCTTTTTCTATTCTGTACTCACTTTAGGATTAAAGTTACCAAAAACAGTGTATATTTTGACTTGGTTTCGAGCATCTTGTTTAATTTTTTATAGAATTTTTTTCCACTTCACCCTCTGCATCAGATGTGGCTACATAAATTGCAGCTATCTTTGTGGTGATCTTTTTGCTTATTCTCATCATGATCCCTGAAGGGTTAGATGACCAAGTATTTCATTAAATGAGTTTTCTTTCTTTCTTTTGGATCCATAGTAAAACCAATGCTGTCAACTTCTTTATTTGCTTCTGTGAATCTTTTAGGTGCAACTTTTTTTTTTTATTACAGTGAGAATGTCAGTATTGATGTATCTGATTCAGCAGTATCAATTTATTGGTCATTGGACAGCCCTCACCTTTAATATACCAAATTAATATACAATAATATACAAATATATATTAATATATGGTTATATATATTATACAAATATATTAATATACATATAATATATATTAATATACAAATATACAAATTAATATTTGTAGTTGAAATACTATTGTTAACACTATAGGACACTATAGGATAGTGATTGTTAACACTATAGGACTCCTCTCCCCCTTTTGCCTACTCCATCACTGCAGAAGAACTGGATTACATGGGACTGAAGATTATTTTGTATTTTCCTTTTTTTTATTGTCATAGACCAGAACATTTCCTCATTTAATTGTCAATGTGCTGGTAATGAGCTCTCTGTGGTCCTTGGAGAGCAGTCACAATCTTTGGCTTTATTAGGTAGGAGCCTTGGTAGAACTTGCCAAAACTTGTGCCTTGCAGGTTTTACATTTGTTCCCTCAGTGCTAAAATGGAATTGGAAGAGAAGGCAGGAGGCATATTTAGGCTGGATGTAAGCAACAACTTCTAATAATTAGAGCTGTCCAAAAGTGGAGTGGCCTGCTTTGGGAGGTAGTAGGTCCACCCTCCTTGGAAGTCTTCAAGCAAAGGCTAGGTCACCACTTGTTTGGTATTTGGTAGAAGGGGCCTCTCTTCAGGGATAGGTTGGTCTCTGAGTTCCCTTCCAACTTTGAAATTTTATTAAATTAATATCATTGTTACTATTGTAAAAGTTAAAGATCAGAAAGAATTCTTTTGGGAGACAGAAATATGCCCTCACCACATCAATCTGAAAAGTAGTTCATGTAGAAACAGCTATACCAAGCTCAGGTAATAACCGTTAAAGGGAATAAATGTTCTTACCAGTTTCTATTTCTTTTAAATATCTTCCCCAATACATCAAATCAGAAACTCTATTATAATTATGAGCTTGTAGAATAGGTGTTTCCTTATTGCTGCCATCTGGTGGATATTTGGGAAATAACTGTTTGGTGTTTGAGGGCTGCAGATGAAACAGTTTAGACTTTCAGTGTCATTTTCCTTTGGTTTATATGCACTTTGCAGCCTCATGCTGCAAAATGACTAGCATCAAGCTGTTTGGACTTCATTTGTACTACTCATTAGTCTCTGTAGTTGAATGAGGAATCTCAGCATGTTTTTTTTTTTTAAGCATGTTTTTTTAAAAAAAATAAACACATACACATTTTTTAAAAAATTGCTGAATCTCTTAGGTACTTTAATTATATGCCTACCTGTTTGCCATAAAGTTTCCTCAAAATCTAGTATTAACCAACGACATGTTTATTTAGATAGCAATTATGGAGACGAACAGATATTTCGGACTAAACTTATGAAAAAGTGTAGGGAGACTGACATAGGAGAGCATCTCCTCTGTTTTGCACTGTCACTAAAACTTACAAAGTGAAATTGTTTAAACAGCTTTGTGGCTCAAATAGTCTAACTGAACATCTTCAAGAGTCAAGCTAGTTAACAAATAGTTGGTTACCTCAACCTAGTAATGCTGTATCATGAATAAATTGGGGGTAGGGAGTGGGAAAGCTTCACAGATCTTCACTGCTATCAAGATGATTTATTGAAATTGTTTTAACTTGCAGTTCAAAAGCCAAATGACTAGCTTCAAATTGCCAATACTTGCTGAAATAATTAGGGGGTAGGGAGGAAAAACAATTATAAACTATTTAAAGTCTCATTAGCATTGTATGCTATCAAAGTTGCTTTTGTATAACCATTTAGGTACAGTCTCATTTGGGTAGCTATAAAATACATCATGCTAATCTGTGTTATCCTTCTGATATGATTTTAGAAGTGATATGAATATTTAGAAGATTGTAAATGTAATCTCACATATTGAAAAAAATAGGAAATTTTTTATTTCTAGTTTATTGGGACTATTTATTCAGGCCTATGCAGTTTTCAATCTGGACCTTCATTTTACTTTAGAAATGTACTTTCAGGCTGTAAGGTCAGTATTCTTATGATAAATGTAGCAATATCGTGGTAGTGTCAGGACCACCTGGATTGAAACCCAACCTCTGATACACATTGGTTGTGTGAACTTAGGCAATTCTCTTAACTTCTTAGTACTACAGCCATCTTTTTTAAGACTAGTTGTCTAGTTGCTGATCTGCTTTGGAAAAGGTAATTTTCTTACCTTGAGTTGCCTACACTAATAAAATCATAGGTCCCTATCAAAAAATACCCCATAAAACTTGGGATTCACATTATTTCAGGCTTGGTCATACTTAATACTTAACACATAAGGTTTTTCATGTTACCAATAAATGCGGTGTAAAGTAGGTAGTAATCAATATAATGCTACATTTTAACCTCCAGGATAATGGGATTGTAGATTTAAAACTAGGAGGGACCTTAGAAGTCAACTAGTCTAACTCCTTATTTTGTGTGAGGAAATTAAGGTCCAGAGAAGTAAAATGATTTGTCTAGAGTTACACAGAAAATAAGTGACATGGCTGCAATTCAAACTGAGGTCTTCCAGGTTACATTTCAGTGTTCTTCCCACTGCCCTAGGATGGTTTCCCGTTTAATTGAAAGTGGAATGGTTGTATGTTTTTCTCCCATTTTCTCTTTTAATCCTTTTCCTTTGAGCATTGAGATTTAGTCCATCTTAGGGAGACAGAAACAAATTCACTTGGTATATTGCCAGGCTTAATAGATGCTAGTTAAACTGTGGTAACAGCTTTAGTTTACATCATTTTCTATCGTATCTCTGTAGTGCCCTTCCTTTATCTTGGTTTTTCGCAAACCTGTGATTCCTGACCCACATGGCCAGCATTTGGATCTTTAATTTTCTCTTTGATTCCGGCTTTCTTTTGTCATCTAGAATGCTGATATCACAATGTACCACCCTTTTATGAAGATGCTGTCTTATCATAGGTCATATAGTCAGAAGCTCACAGGATCCTACTTTTAGAGCTGGAAGGAACCTCAGACTCATCTTACGGATGAGGAAACTGAGGCTCAGAGAGGTTGTAACTTGGCTGTGGTTACACAGCTAGCAAATATCACAGATGGGATTATTATCCTGTCTAACTAACTTCAAGTCCAGTATTTTATCTTCTGTGCCATGTTGCTTCTCTTTTGATTTGAGTCATTTTCTGAGTAGTGGGCGATGGATTCAGGGTGATGCATCCACATTTTTTCTTCCAGTCTCATTGTAACCAATATGTTGCATCTTCAAAGTTGGGTTCAGCCCATAGGGAGCAAAGTCACTCTGGTATTGGGCAGATATAAATACAGTCGTACATATACATTTATGTACTGACGAACGTCTGTCCAAGGAGCTTTGAACTGCAATTTGACTATGTTTGTAAATTTGTGCTTTTACTAGCCAACTTACTGAAAAATGCAATAATCTATATGAATGAATTGTGTTTGTTTCTTTACAGCCAGTTGCTGAACCAATTCCAATCTGTAGTTTTTGTCTTGGTACAAAGGAACAAAACCGAGAGAAGAAACCAGAGGAGCTCATCTCTTGTGCTGACTGTGGCAACAGTGGTATGTGATCCTTTATGCTATTTATACAGCGTGTTACAAGAGACGTAGTAAAATATGGTTAACAGAGTTCATATACTTTCCCTGAATGAGCTCAGTTATAATTTGTATGATTTTACTTTTAGGGTTCTGGGAAGAGAGTCTAGCCAAGCAGCCTTTTGCCTGGCCTAGACTGGGTGATCTGGGTGTGTGACCCAAATTTTGTTTAGCTTGATGAATACATTGTTAGCTGTACTCAGTTCTTAGTGATTAAAACACACACACACACAACTTTCTGCAGACTTAATTTCCCTTCTGTTTATCCTCATACTTGCTCGTGAAACATCTGCTGGGAGGAGCTGCGAATCATTTTGGAGCTGCTGCTGGTCTCTTTAATAATCACTATTTGTTTTGCTCAGTTTTGCCAGGATGAGTGGGACTGGGATGATTCCAAGTTTGTTTTCCCTAATGTGAACCTGAATCTATCACATTGAAGATAGATGCCTGACACAGCAGTTTAGTGAGCAGTGGTGTCAATTTGAATTCTGTGCCTCCAAGCGAGATTTTGCAAAGGGGCTTCCCACCAAGCTCAGAGACGCCATCACTTTACACTCTAAGAACTACTCTTTATATTGCAGGAATGGCTACATAAGTAAATTAATCTCCTCATGAGGTTTGTTTTCATTGACATCTTCAATCTATATGAAAGCTATATAAAAAACTCCTTTTTATTCTTTACGGTCATCCTTTTATAAGTACACTCACTGCCTCCACTTGTCCAACTCCGTGTTCATGCCTCAGCATTTTGTAGTCTTGGTTCCAGTCCTACTACCCTACTGAAACTGCTCTGTCCAAGAGCACTTCAGACTTCCTTGTGGAGGCATCCATTGACCTGATTGAAATCCATTTCATTCAGTTATTATCCTCCTTGATCTTTTTGCAGGATTTGACATAGTTGACCACACTTTTCCTTATTCCCATGACCTCTCTGTTTTCAAATTCTGACAATTCTGCTTGAATATTATTTCTCATGTGTCTTTCCCACTCTGGTTCAGGCCCATACTGTTTCTTGCCTTGTTTATTGTAGGTGCCTCCTAACTGGTTTCCCTTGTTTCAAGTTTTCCCCCTCTCTAACTCATCTTTAATAGTGCTGCTAATATAATCTTCATAATGTACCACTCAGATTATGTTATTCAGTTGCTAAAAAAAAAACTTGTAGTAACTTTCTATTACTCTCAAATAAAGTTTAAATTCTTAATTGTGGTATTCAGGTCTTTCAGCATCTGACTTCAGTCATTGACTTTCCAGTGTTTCATCATGCTACTTCCCTCCAAATATGTCACAGCCAAACTAAACTAATGCATTCCTCTTTTATCACCCTACCCACTTCTGTCTTTCTGACTTTACTTCCCCCCATTTCTAGATTGAACTCTCCTTACCTCCAGCTTTGCTTGCTGAAACCCCTTCCTTCAACTCCTTTATGGATCTTTTTATATATATCATAAGACTTTGGGATCTGTACGGAATCATGCAGGTTCTTAATAGAATAATAGGATTTCATAGTTTGACTGAATTGTCATAGGTCGTATAATCTAACCCTTATTTCAGCTGCGGCCTCTTCTACAACATCATAATAATAATTCATTTATTTATTGCTTTAAAATTCTTGAAACAGTGAGGTATAGTGGATAGACTAGTAGTTTCAGTGTCAGGAGGACTTGGGTTCATGTCCCACCTCCCATACTAGCTGTGTGACCTGGGCAAATTACTTACCTGTCAGGGCTTTAGACAACTCTCTAAGACTAAATTGCAGCACAGGTGCTGATCTGTATTAAGGGAGTTTCTTTATCCAGAATTAACATAAATCAGTCAAATTACTGGTTCAGTTCTTCTACCCTCCTACTCCCTAGTTTTTTAAGTGCTTTCCTTATAATAGCCCTGTGAAGTAGATAATATAAGTATTATTATTCCTATTTTACAGATGAAGAAACTGAAATTCTAAAGGTTTTAATCTGTCTATGATCACACAAGCTAGTGTGATCATAGAGAGGCTGGATTTGTACCCAGGTCTCTTGGTTCTATATTCAGTACCTTATCCATTTTACCATGCTGTCTCTAATCTTCAGCACATTGTCCTCTACTTTTCTTTGATGACCTCTAGTGATAGTAAACTCACTACCTTCTAGGTCCAGCCAGTTTAATTTTCAGTGGGTTCCAGTTGTTAGGAGGGTGTTCTTTTTACTGGCTGAAATATGCTTCAAGTAATTTTGAGACATTGGTCCTAGTTCTACTCTTTGGGGCTCAGCTGAAAAAAAAAGTCTGACCTCAATTTTATATGATAGCTATCAAAACTTGAAGATAGCTGTCATGTATACCCTCTTCCTTATTACTTGCCCCCTCCCTCTCAAGTTTTCCCTCTTCAGGCTAAACATCCCTGGTTCCTTCAGTTGATTGCTTTGTGGCATTATATTGAATCCCATCACCATTTATTCATTCAGTCATTCATTCATTTATTCAACAAGCATTTTATTACTCTGTGCTAGACACTGGAGGGTACAAAGACAAAAATGAAATAATGCCCACCCCGAAGGAGCTTGCTTTCTGTTGGGAAGAAACAACAGGAACACAGATAAATATATACAAAGTAATTGCAAAATAATTTCCAGAGATGAGATAGAAAGAAGGTACTAGGAACTGGGAGGGTCAGGATAGGCTTCATGTAGGAAATGGTGCTTGAACTGAGCCTTGAAGACAGATGAAGATTCTAAGAGATAGAGGTGGAAAGTGTATTATAGGCATGGGTGCTAGTCTTTGCAAAGACATAGAGATTGAAGATGGGATAAACATAGGGAGGAGCAAGTAAATTGAAGGAAAGTAATGTGTAATCAGTTTGAAAATGTAGGTTAGAGACATATCTTGAAAGACTTTAAATATCAGAAGAGTTTGTGTTTTATCCTAGAGCCATTTGAGGACCAGTAGAGCTTCTTGAGTAAGGAAGTGACATGGTCATACCTGTGCTTTAAAAATACCATTTTGGGAGCTGTGTGGAGGAAGGATTGGAGAGGGGAGAGCCTGGGTGCAAGAGAACAATCAGGAGGCTATTTCAGTAGTCCAGCTAAGTGGCGATGAAGGCTTGATACAGGAAGGTAGTGGCCTTATGAGTGGAGAGAAGGAGATTTGAGAGATGTTGTTGAAATAGAATTGACATGACTTGGTAACTGGTTGGATATGGGGGTTGAGCAAGAGGGAAAGAGTCAAAGATGATTCCTGGTCTTGCTCTTTAGTTGTAGTTTACATGGAAGAACAAAAAAAGTGGGGATGGGGACATAGTAAAAGGGCAAAGCTCATTAAGAAAAAAATCAGACCACCAGCACTAGCAAAGATTTTTCTCACGTATTACAAGATAACCTTTTCCCTGTCAAAAATGAACTTTTAGGAGAGGTCAGTGGTCATTATATTATAGAACTTGTTTCAGTTTAACTTTTTTCCTTGCAATTTTGGGCAATTCGCTAGAGAATTTCTTTTTCCCCCCACGAAAATAACTGCATTTTTCTCCAGTTGGAGTATATAAGACACTACATGTTCTGATTCCTCATCATGCCATGGAGGTGGCCCTGGGTTCTCAAAAGATTCTGCCTACCGAGGCCCACAAACCATCCATCCCTGAGGAGCTCCCAGATCTAAGGACTGTAGTGCCAGCTTGCTTTATTTCCCTTCTTGGGGCGAGTGGCTTTCTTTTGAGCAGCTTCTTCCCTCAGCCTAGTTGCTCTCTTTTTCAGAGCCCAGCCTGGAGTGGGTGCTGTTTAGGAGTGAATCTGAAAGCAAAAGTTGCTCTAGCTTTGTTTGCCTCCTTTGTAGTCTGCGGCTTCCTGTTGTCCTGTGGCTCACAAGGAATCTATCTATGAATGTATTTTCTGTTCACTGAATTAAATGTGCAGCTCAGAACACCCACACAGGTGGCACTGATAAAATCCAAATTACTTTTATAAAACCTCAGTGCATTAAATCTGTTACTTTCCTGCATTTTGTCTCCCCTTCATTCCCAATCTTACCTCTAACATTCAAGTAAGCAGAATTGGCATAGATTCAAATTGGCATCAAATTTTAATACATTGTGACACACATATCATGAAACGCTTAAAGCAGTAGTATTTACTTAGATAACAGTTTTAGAAATGGCAACCACATTTGCAGCTGTGGCTGTGAGGACACAGGAACAAGCATGGCTGACTTGTCCTCTGACCAGTTTTCCATTAGGGAACTGATAAAGCAAAGTAGTAAACAGGGTAGATAACAGGAGCAGAAGATCTTAGTTTTCCCTAGGAAACTGGAGTTAGAGTGGTGGAGGGGGAAGTCTCCAAGAAAGTCTTATCAATGCCCTTATTCTTGCATCTCCAGTGATCACTTGTTGGCTGTGGAACTCTTTCTCCTCCTGGCCCTTGGGCTTGACCCTCTCATTTATGAAAAGCAATGCCTGGGATTTCAGAAAAAACTAGAAAGACTTTTACATGAACTGATGCTGAGTGAAGTGAGCAGAACCAGGAGAACATTGTACACAGTAACAGAAATGATCAGTTTCTGATGATCAGTTATGATGGACTTGGTTCTTCTCAGCAATATAGTGATCCAAGACAGTTCCAAAAGACTCCTGATGGAAAATGCTGTCCACATCCAGAGAAAGAACTATGGAGTCTGAATGCAGATGGAAGCATACGATTTTCCTTTTTTGCTTTTTTTCTCATGATTTTCCTTTTTTGTTCTGTTCTTTCACAACATGACTAATGTGGGGAAATATGTTTAACATGATTGCACATATATATAACATATCAGATTGCTTGCTGTCTTGGGGAGGGGGGAGAAGAAGGAGGGAGAAAAATTTGGAACTCAAAATCTTACTAAAAATAAAAAAAACCTTTTTTTGAATAATGTTGAAAACTATCTTTACATGTAATAGGAAAAAATAAAATACTGTTTTTGAAAGAGAAAAGAAGAAGAAGCAATGCCTGATGATGCTTACTATATCC